CCGGCAGCCGCGGGGGGGCTTTTCCGGAGGGAATCCGCAGCCGGAGCCCCCCCGGCTCCCGGCGTCTCGTTCCGCTCGTGCATCCCGACCCGTCGCATCCGTCGCTGCGCGGGGGCTCCGGACACGGCGGGAAGGGGCGGCCCCGGAGCCGGGGAGGCGGCGGAGGCTTTTCCCGCTGCCTCCGCTCCGGAAGTTGTTCCCAGCCGGAGGCATCAAATTCCATCCTCCTTAGCCCGTTATTGCATTTAATTGGGTCAAATCCGGCTCCGGAGCGGGAATGCAGGGACAAAGGCCTGGAAGTCCCAGGCTTTGTGTCGCGGCTGCAGTGATCCTGGCTCCGGATTCATTGCGGGATGATCCCGGATGGCCGGGAAGGACCAGGTGGGTTGGGACAACCCGCTGGAGCAGGTAGCGACTTTGTCGGGATTGAATCCGCTGGMGGTTGATCCCGAGGATTCCCAAGGATTGACTCGGGGCTCCACTTTTGTGAGGATTTTCCTATGGGAAGCTGCTCGGCTCCGTCTAGAGATCCGGGTATAGGGAGGCTTTGCCAGCGTTCCCGAAGTCCGGAACCCTTGTGACATCCGGACTTGGAATGGGGGCCAGATGCAGGTGCTGGGAATGGAGGAGCTCATGGAAAACGGGACCTTTTCCCGGCGCTGGCGGAGCGGAGACCGTTCCCTCCRGATCGATGCCGGGCGCTCCGGGCATTCGCACGTGCCGATCCCGGCCGTGCTCCGCCTTTGTTTTCCCGCTGCCGGACCCCGCGGAATTCCGGCTGCCCGGAATTCCGGCTGCCCGCGGGACTTCCTTCCCCGCTCTGCGGAGCGAGAGGCGGGAAGCGCCGGGAGCCGCTTCCTTCCTTCCTTCCCGCTCCGCTCCATCCAGCAGCCGGATCCCGGCACCTTCCCCGCAGGCCCTCTCCGGCCGCGTTCCCTTCGGAACGATCCCTTCGGCGCGGCGGGGGGATTTGGCGGGATTATCCGCTCCGTGTCCGTCCCCGGGTGCTTTAATCCGCCGCCGCTTCCCGCCCGGCGCTCTCGCCCATTAATTCCCGGTGATTAAAGGGGYGCCGGGAGGCGAAGGGATCCGGAGAGGGATCCGCTTCCGAGGGGGCCGGAATGGGAAGCCCGAGGAGGTGCTGGCTCGTTGTCCGATCCCGTCTTGTTCCCTGCCTCTGGAATTCCTCCTCGCGCCGTTTTCCAGCAGCGACGGAGCCGGTTCTCCTTTCGGGAATTTAGCCCTGGMTCCCGATTTTCCTTTTTAAACCGGCTCCGTCCTCCGCTTTGTCCCAGATCCCGCTGGGTTTTAATCCGGGATCTTCCATTGTGGCTGCTGCCTCTCGCAGCCCCCGCGGCGGCCGCTCCGATGAATCTCCCGGGCCTTTTCCCTTGGGAATGGGGGGCGTTTGTGGGGGTCCCGGAGCACCGCGGTCCGGGAAGCGACACCGGGAAGCCAGGAGCGGGTGGGAAGCAGGATGAGGCCGAATCTGGGCCCTGGGCCGGCTCCCAATCCMTGAGTTTTCCCTATGGGATGTTGAGTCTGCAGGGCGAGCGTTTTTAGGGAATTCTGAGGGAATTTGGGGTCGCCCGGACACGGAACACCCTGATCCGGCTGTTTCCTGACCGGCACATTGGCCGCATGGATCGCTCTGGAATAGCGGAGCCCTGGGATAGCGGGAACGCCGCTCTYGGAGCGCTCCCGCGGCTCGTCCCGGCATTCCCAGCTCTCGGAGAACCCCCCCCTCTTCCCGGCGTTCCGGGCCTTTGTGCCGCCCGGGAGGGAGGGGGAGCTGCGGGGCCGGCGATCCCTGGGAATTATCCCGGCCTTTGAGCGGCCGGGAAGCGYGGAGCGCATCTGCTGCCCCTTTGATCCGGCACAAAGGCGCCGGGGGCCCGTTCCCAGGGAAGGGCGGAATTGGCCTCCCATGGAGCGGCGCCGGGATGCTCCCATCGCTCCCGGGATGCTCCGATCACCCCCGGATGCTCCCGGGCCCTTCCCTGCAGCCGGGCTCCAGGCTCCTCCTCGCCCAACGCTCCATCGTTTCGGGAGCGCTCCGGGATCCGAGCGAGCCCCTTCCCGGCCGCTGGAGCCTCGATCCGGAGTGAGGGGCRGCCGAGCGCTCCGGAGCGCCGGGATTCGCCGGGGCTGTGAAATCAGCGGCTAAATAAACCCGGAGCGGGCGGGAAGGCCGCCGGCTCGGGCTATTTAAAGCGCCGGAGCCGCTCCGGTAACGCGATCCCTGCGGATCGTTCCGATCCGCCGCGGCCCTCGCCGGGATGCGGCGGCGGCTCGTGCGGATCCGGGCTCGCTTCCTCCTCCCCGGGCCAATCCGCTGTGGAGCCGGGGGGAAAAGAAGGGAAAAGGCAGGAAAATCGTTGCCGGGCGGCACAGATGGGTCTGACAGAACTGGGTTACGGAGCAGCGCAGGGAAAGCGGCTCGCGGCGCRGCCGCTTCCCGGGAAAACACTTGGGAGGCGCCCGGGAAAGGGCCGGCCCTCCGGAGAGGTGGAGGTGGCGCAGCCCGGAGCGCTGGTTTGGGGGGGATAGCAAAGCGGGAATAGGGGATCGGGAAGGCAGCACGGAGGCTCTGGGAATGAGGAGGCCGGGAAAGCAGCACGGAGGCTCTGGGAATGAGGGGGCCGGGAAGGCAGCACGGAGGCTCTGGGAATAAAGGGTCTGGGAAGGCAGCGCGGAGGCTCCTGGAAAGCAGGGGGACTGGAAGGTGTCATAGGGGCTCCCGGGAATGAAAGGGCCGGGAATGCAGCAGAGGGGCTGGGAATGGGGC